CTAGGGCAGTCTTCATGGCTTCCCAATTGGCCTTTTCATCATATAGCATCACCCTAAGAGTGGGCTCATACATCTCAATTGGGAGAATAGCCTCAGCGCCGTATACCAAAAAGAATAGGGTTTCCCCTGTGGAGCTCTTGGTCGTTGTTCGTATAGACCACAATACATTGACCAACTCATCAGCCCATAGACCGCCTGCCTTTTCAAGCTTACGCTTGATACCATTGGAGATCAACTTGTTGTATGCCTCTACCTGGCCGTTTGCTTGTGGTCGGCCAACTAAGGCAAAGCAATGAGCTATGCCCTGGTCTTCCAACCACTCCTTAAGTTGAGGCATTTCGATTTGGGGCCCATTGCCGAACACCATAGACTGAGGGACGCCAAAACATGTAATGATACTCTTCCATATGAAGGCTGAAACATCCGTCCACTTGATGCCCCGTACAGCCTCGGCCTCCACCCACTTTGTGAAGTAGTCTACTGCTACAAACACATAACGCCTTTGACCAGCATAGCGTGTACGACCCTAAGATATCCATCCCCCATTTTGCAAAGGGGAGCGGACTACTTATGGCCGACAGACTGCTAGCAGGGCGATGGATCAAGGTTGCAAATCTCTGGCACTTGTCACATTTTTTCACCATTTTCATGGCGTTCGACTTTAAGCTCGGGCAGTAGTAGCCCAGATGGGCAGCCTTTTCCGCCAAGGCTCGTCCTCCAATATGAGAGCCGCACTGCCCCTCCCTGGTGAAGGTCGTCCAAGACATCATGCCCTTTCTCAGGAGTAATACACTTCAGGTACTCCCCCTGCTTCATTTCCAACCAATCTGCTCTCTTCTTCATCAGCCAGCTCTCTTTAGGATCGGCTGGAAGTAATCCATCCTTTAAATAAGAAATGATCCCGTCCATCCAAGTGGAGCTTCTATTAATGATATGTACCGGCTCGGCATCAATACTCCTTCTTTCCTTTACCTCCCAAAATACTGATCTGGGGGTATCACATGATGCTGAGGATGCTAATTTAGAGAGGGCGTCCTCCTGATGATTAGACGAATGAGGAACTTGTTGCAGAGTAAAATGATCAAGGCCCTTAGCCTCCTCCTTGACAATCTTTAGGTATTTCATCATAGCCGGCTCCCTTGCCTCAAAGTCTCCGTTCACCTGGCCGACTACAAGTAGGGAGTCCGAGCTTACATCCACTTATGTTGCTCCTGCCGCCTTACACATTCTAAGGTCGGCCAGGAGGGCTTCATACTTGGCCTTGACAGGTTAAAGTCGTATCCCCTAATCAAAAGTAATTACCTAAGTCCTCTAACTAAAGTAGATAGGGAAGTAGGGTCGAATCCACATGGAAACAAGTCTTTCTACTCCTAATTAATTATTATAATCTAAATTATCGAGGTAACCAATATTGTTGTAAATAAAGTCTATACTACGAAGAATAAGATCGGAGAAGATAAAGTAGGGAGAATTAAATATTAAAAGACCTAGGGTATAGGTTCACTAATAAACAATAATCCAGGGCAAATCATAATAAGCAATCATCAAGTATTGATTAATCAGATTATAAAGGGCTTTCGCTACGTATTATAATCACAGAGTTAATTTACCGGTATTAAATCTCATCTGTCGAATATCGACTTAACCATTTATAAATTAGTCCGCCTATTGAAACTAAGCCTAAATACCAATTCTCATCTGTCAAATATCGAATTAATATTGCTAAACTCATACAATTAAATCTGGCCAAACCTAATTGCATAGCATTAAATCAATCAATAGGAAATTATCTAAGCATTGATAATCAACAATCACAAATTTACCCCTTCATACTATTTATTAGATCCCCATAAACCCTAGAAATAAAACTACTCAAGCATCATCATAACTAAACTAATCAAATAAATAAAGCAAGACATAATCAAAGAAGTAAATAAAATAACTGAAATTAAAAGAGAAGAAATTGTTACCAAAAGAAATCTGGATTAATGAAAGTAATTAAGAACAAAGTTGAGAGAGAATTTAAGAGAGAGAAAATATCCTAAGTAGAGAGAGAAAATCTAAAAGAGAAGGTAATCAAAAATTACGTACATAATTCGTACTTAAACCCCCTAAAACAAAAACAAAAACAAAACTAATCAGCTTCTAAGAAAAACACGCGCCCGATCGGGCGAAGGGCCGCCCGATCGGGCCCGCCTTTTTTACTCTGCCCTTGCTTGGTATGCTACGCCCGGTCGGGCCTACGCTCACCTGATTGGGTGCGCTTCTTCCTTGAGGTTGCTTTTGCGCGCACCCGCCCGATCGGGCCCGGCTTCTTCTTCAAGACTTGGATTTCGATTGGGCTTGATTCTTCGGCCCAATCTGAATTTCCTCATCGGGTCTTGATTAATTAATCCAATAGCCCCGGTATCACATACCGAGCCCTTAATCACTGGCTCTCATCGATCCTGGGGTTCAAGAGTGGTCGTGTCCTTCTAGCTTCCGTAGTTGATCCATGAAAACCCGGGAAAATGCTCCAAAAGTGCAATATCCTGTAAAACTCAACTAAAACTACGAAAACACTAAAAACACAAATTAGTAATAAAAGTGGCCCTAAAAAGCCAAAAACACTACTAATTATGACCATGGGACGGGGGTAAAACATTGTATAAATTAGACATATCAGGCCTCATTATTAGAGGCTTGAAACTGAAATCTCAAAGCATACTCAAACTTATCTCCCTCACCTGCACCACACCCGGTAGCTGTTGCACTACCATCCACGAACACCTTCCAGATCTGACTCCGGCCGACTGAAGATTAGGACGAGTCATTTCAACTAAAAAATCAGGAAAGGCTTGTCCCTTGATTGTTTTTCTTGGCTCAAACGTAATGTCAAAGCCTCTCATTTCCAAGGCCCACTTGAGCATACGGCCACATGCCTCTAAAGTTGTAAATGGCTTCTTCAGAGGTTGGTCTGTGTAGACCACAATTGAATGTGCCAAAAAGTACGGCCGCAGCTTTTTTTTATGCCATGTACAATGCTAAGCCAAATTTTTCAATAGGGGGGTACCTCAGCTCGACGTTGTGAAGTACATGGCTGATAAAATAGTTGGATCTGGCGGCCGTCCTGTTCAGCAAGCAGGACGGCACTTAAAGAGTGTTCAGAGATGGCGAGGTAGATAAATAGCTTCTCATTCTTGAGTGGACTGACGAGTCGAGGCAATGTATGAAGGTGGCTTTTTAGTTGTACGAATGATTCCTCTGCCTCTTCTGTCCACTCAAACATGGCTTCCTTCTTGATGGTTTGAAAGAAATAACGGCACTTATCCCCTGATCTTGACAGAAATCTATCAAGTGCTGCTAAATAGCCGGTCAGTCTTTGTACTTCCTTAATCGTCCTTGGTGACTTCATGTCCAGGACAGCTTGAATCTTTTCAGGGTTGACCTCAATTCCACGTTGATCAATCAAAATCCGAGAAATTTACTGGACTCAACACCAAAGACACATTTTTTGGATTTAGCATCATCTTATGCCGCCTGAGTTCGGTAAAAGTTTCTCTCAGATCCTTCAGGTGGTCGGCCGACTCTTTTGACTTGACAATCATGTCATCAATGTACGCCTCCATATTCCGGCTGAGCTGATTTGTGAAGACTGTATTTACAAGTCGTTGGAAGGTAGCTGGGGCATTCTTGAGGCCGAATGGCATAACCTTGTAACAATACAACCCCTGCTCAGTTACGAACGTTGTTTTCTCTTGATCTTCTTCCCATAAAGGAATTTGATGGAATCCGGAGTATGCGTCCATAAAACTCATCAGGGCATGCCCGGCCATTGAATCAACCAGGCGGTCGATTTTGGGCAAGGAAGCTATCCTTAGGGCATGCCTTGTTCAGATCGGTGTAATCCACACACATACTCCAAGTTCCATTCGGCTTCTTCACAAGAACTACATTAGCTACCCAGTCTGGGTAATAACATTGCCGAATGAAACCGGCGTCCAGCAGCTTTTTTACCTCAGCTGCGGCCGCCTGATTCCTCTCTTCTCCATGATTTCTTTTCTTCCGGCGGACATGTTTAACAGCTGGGTTCACAGCCAGCTTATGCACGGCCAGGTCAGGGCTTATTCCTAGCATCTCACCAACGTCAAATGCAAATACATCCTTGAATTCTCTCAGCAGTTGAACTAACTCATCCCCAAGCATACCCAAAGTTATAGTGCCCACACTAAACGTCCGATCTGGTTGATCGGGGTCAAGTACTATGTCTTGGTGACTGCCAGCCGGCTGGGGTCTTAGCTCTTCTGGCCGACCAACAGTCTTTAGCAGCTATGCTTGCTCTATCTTGGCCGCCTTACGCTTCTGGCCGACCTGATATGCTGGAAGTAGGGATGGCAATGGGTCGGATCTAGACCGGGTCCGGATGGACCCGGATCCAGATCCGTTTTTCAACCTTGGATCTAGATCCACCCCGGATCCTTCAGGTCCATAAAATGAGGACCTAGATCCTGATCCGACGGATCCAACGGATCCGGGTCCGAATCCGGGTCCAAAACAGGTCTTGCTCGTTTTGCCTACTTTTTTCAAACAAATTTAATAAAAACGCATTTGAACCAAGTTCAATGCATAAATTAGAGTTATACAACTAAAAATACAATGTAACACACATATTGTCTTTGACCAGCGGCAAGCTTCAAATGCTTTTCCGAGCATACTTTTTTAGCATGCTTAAGAGCACCATTATTGGTGAACAAAAAAAAATGGTTCATGGGTCACTATCACCATTTCTCTCTCATCCACATCAACCCAACAAACCATTTACAATATTCACTCTTAACAATAAACACTAAACAATGGTTCATCATCGATACTCCCTACCCCACCTTATTTTATTTTTGTAAATATAATCTTTTTGTTTCATAATTATAATTTATTAACCGATGTCAATGTAATTAATTGACGTATTTAATATTTTAATCGTGATTACTAATTAAGAAATTATCGCGTTTTTTTATCAGCTTTTTAAAAAATTAATTCTTGTGATTAATATTTTTTAAACAACAACGCAGCTAATTTTAATTAACATAAAAAAAAGGAGGTACAAATCGTGATTACAGTTCTACAACTATAATCTAGTACATTTTATTTAAAAAAAAACACAACTACACATCGTTTTGTAAGATGTCCTTAGGGATAACCATTTGTTGTAAACCTAGTTGCCTAAGTTTTCGTTGTTACCAAATTTATTCCATATATGTTCGACCAAGTCGTTTTTTAGCTGCAAATGAGTCTGTTGATCCTCAATCTCTGTTCTACGAGACAAGTATAAGTCGATATCCACAATACGATCAGTACGGTACTCGGTAGTGTCCTCATTAGCGTTCCCTCCAGCATTCATAAACTCATTGGTATTAACGTTATTTTGATACGTCTCTCGTTCATCTTCAACGATCATATTATGTATTATGATGCAGGCGAGCATGATATTGTGGAGTATGTCGGTATCCCACGCCAAAGACGACTTTTTAATAATGGCAAAACGAGCTTGAAGGACCCCAAATGCACGTTCAACGTCTTTTCTTGCAGCTTCCTGGTGTTTTGCGAATAAACGATCCTATGAGTTTGTGGACTCGTAATGGATTTCACAAAAGAAGCCCATCTAGGGTAGATTCCATCAGTAAGATAATACCCATTCGTATAATGATGACCATTGACTACGAAGTTGACAGGAGGTGTTCGACCCTCTAAGACGTCTTCGAACACAGGGGATCGATGAAGCACATTAATATCGTTGCAGCTACCTGGCATCCCAAAAAACGAATGCCATATCCATAGATCTCTGTCCGCAACTGCCTCCAGTATGAGAGTTGCAACTCCTTCTCTTCCTTGATACTGCCCCTTCCATGCGTGTGGACAGTTCTTCCACTCCCAGTGCATACAATCAATGCTACCTATCATGCCAGGAAATCCACGTTCTTCCCCAATACGTAGCAATCTTTCCATATCTGCGATGTTTGGACGGCGTAGGTACTGATCACCGAACAGGTTGATGACACCTTCTGTAAACTTTTGGAGTGCCAATCGTGAAGTAGCCTCACTTATACGGACATACTCATCACAAGCGTCTGAAGCACACCCGTAAGCTAGTTGTCTAACGGCCGCAGTGCACTTTTGAAGTGGAGACAAACCAAGACGACCTGCCGCATCTCGCCTTTGTTGAAACCAAGGGTCATGTTGGGTCACTGCGTTGAGAAGGCGCTCAAACACATGTTTACGCATTCGAAACCGGCGCCGGAACAAGGAACTTGGATAAACTGGGACTTCCGCGAAATAGTTGTTGTATAACCGTGCATGACCTTCGCGTCCCCTATCCTTTTGGGGCTCAATAGATTTTCGTCGGCGTTGCTGAGTGGCAGCCTGAATAATTGGTGGAATGTACTCATGCATTACGTGTTGTATCATAAGACACACTTCATTACGTTGTTGAACTCTAAGCTCCCTTCCCTCATCATCCGAGTTAGATGAAGATGAAGGGGTATCGGTTGAGCTTTCGTTTAAACTATTTGAATTCATTTTGTACGTAAGAAATGTAAGATAAAGTGAGGTTTGCTAATAGTAACTGCAAACGATTTATGTGTGTGTGTATACAAAATGAAAGAATGGTGTTTATTTATAGTGAACTAATTTGTAATTCTTCTTCAGAAATAGCTGAATATAAAGAGACAAAGATCACATGGGCTATGACAAACAATGAATTACAACCACACAGAAATTGAATGGAGAAGAAGGGTTTCACATGGGCTATGACAAACACTGGATTAGAACCACACAGAAATTGAATGGAGAAGAAGGGTTTCACATGGGCTAACAAAGGGGAAATTAAGATACTGACACAATTATATATAAAGAGACAAATTGATATAATCGAATAAACAGAATAAGATCACATGGGCTATGAAAATGGGAAAGTGAAAAAGATACATTTTATTGATTAATTGATAAAGTACAAACATAAGGAAATGAGTACAAGAGGTTGAACTGGAATTGAAAACTTATCACTACTGAAAATGAAGAACAACAAAGGAATTGAACACACTTAACTACAATAAAAATAAAGGACACTAAGCATCATTATTGAAACGTTGAATATTGTTCCGAAGTATTACTATCATTTCGTCTTCCCATTGCTCTCGGTTTACTTTCTGTTCTAGACGAGATAGTTGCTCCCAGTTGATCCTATATTGCTCTAGCTCAATTTTCCGTTGTTTCCTTGCCTCCTTGCGCTCTTGTATTTCAAGTCTCTTCATTTCTGCTTCGTTTGACACATTCATCGACTCCCCAAAAAGCTGCAATCGAGTGTTGAATGTTTCTAATTCCTTAAATGCTTGACTTGATGGAGCTTTACCCTTCAACCTCGACTTAGCCTTTTTAATACCTTCAGCACGAGCTACTCTCTCATCACCGACACCCACGCTGGTTGGTGTGGTAGGTGAGGAATTGTCACCCTCATCCCGTGTCCTCTTCCCACTACTTCCGCTCCCTACAGACTCATCCGTCAGTGGAGTTGAATGTGGACGTCCCACCGATGATTTAATAACAATAATAATAATAATAATAATAACAATAATAATAATAGAAATAATAATAATAACGATAATAATAACAATAATAATAATAATAATAATAATAATAATAATAATAATAATAATAACGATGATAATAATAATAATAATAACAACGATAATAATAATAATAATAATAATAATAATAATAATAATAACGATAATAATAAAAATAATAATAATAATAATAATAATAACGATAATAATAAAAACAATAATAATAATAATAATAATATTAATGATATTAATTAAAAATAATAATAACAATAATAATATTAATATTGGTATAAATAATAATAATAATATTGGTAATTATAGAGGGGATTTTTGAAGAGAAAATATATAGTAGAAAAAAATGAATTTTGAAAGTTGAAAAAAATATATCAATATGGGTGTCTATTTATAGAGGGGAAAAAATAGAGTCGTTGGTAATTTTTTTTTTTTTTTGATTTGTATTTTGTAAAATATATCCGTTGCAAAATTACAACGGATATATTTAAAACAGTGCACACGTGTCAAGCAGCGGCTGGGTCAAGTGGCGCGCTCCCAGCCGCTGATTTCTATTTTTTTTCTGAGCTTCAACAGCAAAACGACGTTTTGCACCATGAAACAGCAAAACGACGTCGTTTTGCTATAATATCAGTCCAAAATATTGGTGGGGCCCACAGCGAATTAATTCATGGAAATGCTTGCTCCTGCAATCGAACCCATGACCACTCAACATGAACCATTAAAAGTTTGCCATTAAGCCACCACTTTATTTGTTTATTCATTGTGAACAATTAAATAGTTCACCCTTAAAGATGCCCTAAGAAGGTGAGATCCAGAGTAAGAGAGCATACTTTTACAAAACTTGGAAATTGCCTTTTGTATACCATTGATTGTAGTCAGATCAAAATAGTCCCATGCTTCAGAAGTTAGTTTCTTACTTTTCTTAATACTACTAGACTCACTTTCTTTCGTAGTATCATTTTCGACCTCAACAAAACCCTCAAATTCTCCTTCCTCTTCTTCCTCTTTATCCGAAGGGACCGTAAATGGTTCATCATTACTATCTTTAAAATTTGATTGTGCTTCCATAAACTGAAATTATTATAAAGGATAAAATCAGTAATATAATTCTATTAAAAAAATCAGAAATATAATTCTATTAAAAAAGTTCAGAAATATAATTCTATTAAAAAAATCAGAAATATAATTAACTTAGAATTGTAATGTACTAAAAAGCGAAAGTTGATAATACGTGCTAATTATGTAGCTTAGAATTGTAATGTGCAACCAAATGAATTCTAAATACTACAGTACTATGTTCCATCTTCCATCATTATTAACTTATATTTTAGGAAGTAATAAAGGTTTAATCATGAAACTAATTGCTAATAAGTAACTATGCAGTTCCTAATCGACCTCACAGTAGTAGATTACAAATTAATCAAACAAATAAACACACAAAATTGCATAAATTACACAAAATTGCAGCATAAATAAAACACACAAATTGGCAGCAAAAACATGCACAGCAACACAAATAAACCCACGAAATTTCAGCATATAAAGTACTACTTTAGAATTTCATCAACTGAAATGCAAATAAACCCACGAGGCCACGAATTTCATGAACAACACAAACAAACCCACTAATTTCATCAACAGCACAAATAAACCCACGAATTTCATCAACTGAAATGCAAACTTGTACAAATTCATCACAAACAAATCTGAACTACTACTTTAGTTTATTTGCTCATATAAAGCAAACAAGTAAACAACAAAGAAACTAAAAAGAGGAGGGAATACGGGACTTACAGGAATGAAGGGAGATCGCCGCCGATCTAACAGAACTGATCGGAGATCGCCGCCGATCTGATGGAGTCGTGGTCTCGTGGAGAGTAGGCTGAGTGGTGGCTGGTGGAGATTGGAGAATGAAACTAGAGAGAGAAAATTAGGGTTTTTTTTTTTTTTTTTTTGGGTTGATTTCAGTTGCTAAATATGGGCCGAAATTTGTGACTTTGTGAGTCATGTATTAGGAATTTTATTTTTTAAAAAAAATAAATTTATAAAACGGATCTACGGATCCGGGCCCGGGTCTGGTAGTTAGATCCGGACCCAGATCCGTTTTTTCCAGCTAGACCCGGATCCGACCCGGATCCGTCGGGTCCAAAATTTGAGGACCCAGATCCATGAAAGACAGATCTGGATCCACGGATTCGGGTCGGGTTCAGATCCACTGCCATCCCTAGCTGGGAGTAAGGTTCCTTCTTCCTTCTGCTCGGATACTTTTGGTCCGCGTGCTGTAGGCTTAACGGCCAATTGATTACATTCCTTAGCCATTTTCTAACTTCCTTGGATTGTCCCAATTTTTCGTCCGTCTTCTCGAACTTTAGCAGCATTAGATGAGGTACAATGACTGCGTTCAGTGTTGGACGGCCGAGTATGACATTATATCCAGTCGGCTCTTTTACAACCAGGAAGCGGACAACCATATCTCTTCCTTCCCCTTTTTGCCCAAAGCGGACGGGTAGGTCTATCCGCCCAACTGGGTGGATAATATTCCCCCCAAATCCTACCAATGGGTGAGTGATGTCCCGAAGAGCATTCTCTGGGAAGCTTAGATTCTTCAAGGCGGCCAAGCTGATGATGTCAGCCGAGCAACCCGTATCAATTAATATTCGTCCAACCTTCAAATTGGTTATCTTCATGATGAATACCATGGGATCATTGTGCAGGGCTTTGACCTCCCCCCGGTCAGCCTCGCTAATGGTTACTTCGGGAAAGGGTTCGACCTTTACTGCATCCGCTTGCATCACCTTTCCCAAGTTCCAGGCGTCCTGCTTGATCCCTTTCATGGTTGGGCCGCCTGAGGCGAAACCTCATGATATCACGGCCACAAAGCCTGAGTCAGTGCTATTCCCATCATCTTCCTTGTCTTTGTTCTTATCATTTTTCTGTCTCTTTTCGGACGTGTTGTTTGTCCGTGTGTAAGTAAATTTGGTCTTCATCACATAAGAATTCAGCATGCCCTTCTCGGCTAGCTTGTCTAGCAATCTCTTCAAATTGATGCAATCGTTTGTGTCATGTCCCACGTCCTTGTGATAATGACAGTACTTGTTCTTGTTCCTGTACTGAGCCGGGCCTCTCAACGGCTGCGGCTTTTCAAACTCAAACTTATCCTTGATTTCCATCAAGATGGAATAACAATCCTTATTGAACTCATATTGGGGCTCGTACGTCTTGACCTTCTTGGACTTCTGCGGCTGGCCATCGGCCACCCAAACTTCTTTTCTCTTTTTTCCTTCTTTCTTTTGGTCGGCCGAGTCTTGCGGAGAAGGCTGTTTCTTCTCAGCCCCCTTGGTCGGCGCTTCTGATTTTGTGAGCGAACAAAAGTCCGCCACTTCAATATAAGCTTCGGCTTCTCGCAAAACACCTGCGTATGTCCGAATCTTTTTCCTTACCATGTCAAATTTAAAACCATTATGCCTTAATCCTCGGAGAAATTCAGAGTAAGCCATTTCATCCGGCAAATTATGAATTTGGGCTTTTTCTTGGTTAAATCGCTGGACGTACGACCACAGGCCCTCATTCTTCCCTTGAACAATTGTTGCCACATTAAGGCTAGTCTTTCGAGGCGGTATGTTGTATGAAAAATTTCCCACTAACAGCAAACTAAGAGTAGTGAAGCAATTGATACATCCGGCCGGGAGGTTATTGAACCAATCCTATGCCACACCCTTCAAAGTGGCCGGAAAGCATTTGCACCAGGTAGCATCATCTACACTTTGCAAATACATCAGGTTTCTGTACGAGGTGATGTGTTCTTTTAGGTTGCCCGTACCATCATAAGCTCCCACAAGTACACTCTTCACCTTCGGCGGCTGAGGGGCAGTTAAAATATCTTGCGAAAACGGAGGCGGCTTATCTCCTAGAGTCAACAGGCGCATCTGCCAATCAATTGGCTGTGGCTGCACGGAAGGTCCAACCAGGTAGGGAGCCTAACCGTACGCCTGTCCGTATGGCCCATATTGTCCGAAGACTTGGGGATTCGGCTGCATCAAGCCATTGAACCCCTAGGGAGGTTGATATTGAAGTGATTGGACTGGAATAGGAATTGGAGTGTGGACAACTGGAATAGAAGTTGGGTGCGGACAACCTGACTTCTGCTGGAGATGGCCGTGTTGGTATGCTGGGAGAGAGTATGATTTGAAAAATCATCCGACATAGTTGGGGTTGAGGCCGTGTCCGAGTAAGCGACACGTTCCCGCTGCTTATGCCGAAGGGAATCCCTTACGTCCTTCCATCGTCTAGACGGTTCTGGCTCTTCTCTTCGAGGCTGCCTACTCCCCCCAGTCGACTGTGTTTTTGCCAACAGATCAGAGAAATTTGTCCACGGAACCCTTGGGGACCTTCCAGTCGGCTTACGAAATGGGGTGTTCCCAGCGTCCGTTGCATTAGCCGCTTTGCTTTGTGCTTTCTTTGGAGCCCTCTGCCCCTCTCTCCTGGGCGGTTGCCTAGAGGTAGAGGCTCATTTGCTCTCAAACTCCTTCCGGAGCTTGATGAGTGCGGCCTTTAAAGAGGTTGCGGTAACGGGAGGGTCATCAGCTTCTTTAAATGTGGCAATCAGCGGATCGCTGGTACGGATTATAGGGATTATATCCTCTACTTGTCCGTCCTCGCCCGGATTAGGTGTCTGACCGTCTATTGCCATAACGTACGAGTATCTCCACAGACGACCCCAAATGTTTCGGGTGTTTTTTGGATTTCCACGGATACTGGTCACGCCCTTCTGGCAACGAGACTGACACACCTGCAAAACAACGAATATTTTGTTTGTCAGAATATTCATCTCCGACGATCAAGTCAGTGATCGGAAACGGAAAAGGCTAGAGAGAGAAAGTAAAGAGAAGTTGGAGCTATTAATGCTCTTTTTCTTGTAATGTCTTTATCCACCCCTCCCATCATAAATGACTGGAGTATTTATAGGGGTGAAGCTTGTGCCCCTTTTTAGGGTTTGTAACCTAAAATTGCGTGATGTGATTGGCTGCGCAATCGGAGAATGCCACGTGTCGCTTTGGGGCGCCGCTTTGCGGCTTTCAATGATATCTCTCGGGATTTGGGCCCTGATCTAATTAGGCCTCTTTTGCGTGCTGTTTTGAGGGGTCATGTATGCCCTAAACACGTGGCATCTTCATGTAACGACACGTGTCACCCTCTCATTGGGCCACGTGTCGCTACAGGATTGGAATTAGCCCTTTGAGTGCTTTTAAGCTAGACGCGTGGCATCTTCCCATAGTGACACGTGTCGCCCTCTAACCGGGTCACGTGTCGCTACGGGACTGGTCCACGTGTACGGGGTATTTTTTACCCTCAACACAACTCTTCATGTATATACTGATAAGTGAATGAAGCATTGTTTGTGGAATAAACCGAACAAATAGAAAGATGAACATTAATTTTTAAATTTTTTTTGGTATTTTTTAATTATTTTTTTTACTTTAATTATTATTTTTTAACTAGCGCGTACACACACACACAAAAGACACGTGAACACTCTAAATTTCCTTTAAATTTTCCTATTATAAAATAATAGTATAGATATATTATTGAAAATTGTATAACATTAGGAAATCATGACAAAAACACGCATAAATAAATATAATTATTGTTTATCTTTTTATGATTATCTAACTTTTTACGATTTTCTAGTGTAAATTTAATGCTTATATGTAGCCCTAAGGGCTATGTATATTATTTTCCTTTATATATATATATATATATATATATATGTGTGTGTGTGCGCAACTTTTGAGTAAGTTGAATGTTATTTTGAATTTTGATACCTAAAGATTTTTCGTACCCGTTTAAAAATTTTTATTTTTTTTTTATTATTTTTTTTTTACTTTGGTACCCATCAAACCTTAAAATTATAGGTTTTGGTACCTTCATCAATGTTCTGTTAAGTTTTCCGTTAGTGGGCCCTAGCCATAGTCCTCACCTCCCGGCCACCCCTTCCTCCTCCTTAGCCACTACATTGCCACCCCCCTGCCAAGAACCCCGAAAACCACCCCTTCACCACCAAACGCACCACCGACTCCAACCACCAATTGTCCAATACAACCCACAACAGCAGCCGCATCAACAACCACCTATCACAACCTGCACAACACCTCCCTTTTTCCTCCACCGTCACTTCCATCACCACCAGCAATCAACTCCAATTTTCTCTGCAATCGACCACACTCATCACCACCAACAAACAACACCCAGGCAACCCACAATCGACAACCACCAACAAACAACACCCAGGCGACCCACAATCGACCACCACCAACAAACAACACCCAGGAAACCCATAATCGACCACCATCAAGTAGCCCACGCACCAGCAATTAACCACAACGGCACCGGTAGCCCACAATCTACACCAAAACCATCACCGCAAACGTCGAAGCTGCCCGACCACCGCATTCACCTCGAACACCACCGCCACTAGCGCCCTTGAAGCTACCACCGTTGTTGTTGTATGATTTGAGGAGAGAGAAAAAAAAATTGAACCCTAAAACCCTAAAAAAAATTGATTTGGGGAAAAGGGGGAAATGGTGGTGTCGGGGGTAGCCAAGAGTGGGAAAGAGGAGGGAGATCGACAGGGGAAAAGGAGGGGTGAGGTCGCTGGCGCTGGGGCTGGGGGAATGTTCGGGCACCGGCAACCGTCACAGGGATGAGGAAAATTGGTTGACGGGGAGGGGGGATGTTTTTTTTCTTTTTTAAAAAATATAAATTATTAATTAGATTATGGGCCCCACTAACAGAAAGTTTAACGGAAGTTGGACGGAAGTACCAAAATCTATATTTTGTAACTTTAATGAGTACCAAAATAAAATAAAATTTTAAATGGTACCAAAAATTAATAGGGATTCAAAATTTCCTTATTTTTATATTGGCGTTTCTTTTTCTTTTTCTTCAATATACTTCATATGTTATATACGCATATAATTTTTTTTTATTGTTTTTTCGGTAGCTCCAATTTGTTGATAATAGTAAGTGAAAATGTGATTACTAAAATAACTTGCAACTATATTTAGCTTGATTTAAGAATAAGAGGGTTAAAGGTGAAATTGTTTCCAGATTTCGAAAATGTGGGATTGTTTAAGAATATAGTTACTATTCCCTCAGTTTCATAATAATCAAAATAATTTTCATTCAAATGCTAATATATTTCTACTCCCTCTGTTTCATAATAATCGTAATACTAGCCTATTAGGTATTGCATAAAATTTGAAGGTAAGGACTATAAATGAAGCATGTGGGGTGGTCACTTTACATAATCACATACTATAAGGGAATTAATTAAGTAATAGGGGTTCGATGATGTGCAAATAAATTACTTAAATGAGAAAAAGGGGTTATTCTCTTAAACATGTGGAATTATTCCTTATTTTTTAAAACAAAAGAATAGGGATTACTCGAATAAGCAAATTGGGTTACTTATTTCTAAATTACTTGATTTTACTCGTATAATGAATTTGGGTTACTTTATAGACATGGGGTTGCTTTTACGAAAAAATGAAGTTACTCATACGTTTGAATGAAGATTACTCTTATATAAACAATGTGGCTAGCCACAACTTTCCTAATTTTTATTGAAATGAAATTAATTTTACTTAATAAAACTTATTTATACTTCATATTGATTTTCTATTATATTTGTTTTTCAAAGTTACTAATTTTTACTGATTAAAATTATATTTGCTAAATTAAAAGTACTTTTAATGAACTAAAATTATTTTGTTGAATAAAGCAAGGCCCAAGTGGGGTTTGTAAGAAAGAGATACTTCCTCCGTTCTATTAATATTGGACTTTTTGCACTATTCATCACTCTTGTTTGACCTTATACATATTTATACGTTAAGTAAAATATAGTCATGTGAGATCTTATTAAATTCATCTCATTAATACTTTCACAATATCAACTTTCTATAATTTTTACTCTTACACGATTATAGATATTTAGCATATAAAATGTGCTTTAGGATGCGTAATTTCCTCCCTATTGCAATATTAATAGAACAGAGAAAGTATATTATAAGTCAGTGCCCGATTCATATCATGTCAACTTTTGCCAGCTCTAAACGGCACAATATCAATTGTATGTGCAACATGCAAGGGAGGACCGAGGATGTAGCAAAAGTGAATCCGTTTCTTTATTCTTGTAGTTTCCTTCTATCTTTGACTTAAAAAAAAAAAATCAATGTTTATGAAGCTTTTGTCAAAAATTGAATACTGAATTACATACTACCCTTTCACTTAATAATCTAAATTCTAAACATATGCATGCATAGTAAGCAGTCTCAAGAAACGCGATGCAACTTATACAGCAACACAAAATAGTGTGGCTCAGAAGTAGAAAATAAACAATTATTGTTGAACAAGGTTATCATAGAACAACTACGAGAAAAGATCAAAACTTTTCTACCAACACAAAAGTGCGGGATGAAGCCATAGATTACTCTATAAAGACTACGAGATTTCCCCATCTTCACCAAGTTCACCGTCTTCGAGATCATCATGGGCACCATTTTTCCGAGAACCTTCCCGATGATCCCTCTTGTGCTTTTTCTGTCTACTTTCACCATCTGAATCAGGTGAGTGTTCATGCTGTAAAAAAATTACACAGAAGCATTATATCAATAACCACCATTTTCAAATTAAATAACCACCATTTTCAGAAAATTTTAATTTTATTGGATTGATTGTAATTTTTATACTGCCACACCTTTCGAGATTTTTTTCGATCACTGCCATGTCGGCGGGATTTTTTGTGCTCCTCTTTATCATCTCTGTCAGAACTGACATCATCAGTGGTATCATGGTGCCGCTTTCGGTGACGTTTCTCCCTGTCGTCTTCTCTGTCAGAACTTACATCATCAGTAGTATCATGGTGCCGTTTTCTATGCTTCCTCTCTCTGTCTTTATCCTTCTCTTTCCTATTCTCATCCTTATTGCTATAGCTATCAGTTGCATCCACAGCTTCATCATCTGACTCCTCTTTCTTAGAACGCTCTTTTCGCTTTTCTCTGTCACGATCTTTATCTTTATCCTTCTTCTCCTTCTCTTTCCTTTTCTCCTTTTCCTCTCTTTCTTTCTCCTTTTTCACCTGTATCCATCCATTCAGCACCATGATAAAATAACACATGAAACTACAATATGCTAATAAAAACTATAATTATTTTTGAAAGATGATTAAAATAAATACATAGTAAATAAAACAAGTTGTTCGATCGCCTAGGGACTATATTTTGAGTAACCAAACAATACTACATATCAAAGGTAGTTTACTTTCCATTCTCCTTTCCCTTTCTTTAAAATCGATGCCTTTCCCTTCTCTTTGATGAACCTAACACCCCCTGGCTTTACTCAGGAAAAAAAAAAAATGGAGTACCCAATTTCAGGCCCTCACTATATTGGCTTAAAATATTCTGGATCTTTATTAAATATAATAACCAAAAAAAGGCAGCACCTTGTAGTCTTGTACATCCAACTTTAATACACTGAAAAAACCAATGAGGTATCTTGTCAGATTTGTATTACAATGTGGATCCGAAGTCGAATTATCTTCCTCTTTCAAGGTGATAAAATAGGTTATTCATTACTCAGAACCTCATATAAGGTGATATACAGCTACAAACAGCTAATTGGCAATTTGGCATGGCTAATCGGCTATACATCATAATGCCAAGCTCTGCTGAATTATCATAGAGGAACCAACAGTCAAGACCAATATCAACCTAAACCACTCCATTATCTACACATTTTTAAGAATCGTGAACAGCAGCAAGATAAGGTGCTTCCCAGTCCCAATACCTTTTCCTATATAGTAGTGGTTAAGGAGATGTAAATTGGGTACTTATAACAAGCAAATAGTTCACTAAGATAGGTTGCTAGGCCAGTGAGTTCTCATTGAATATATAGCAGGTTATGTAATTGAATGAAATTTCACCAATATATAATATTTGTTCACAGATTGCACACACACAAATAGACTAATAGTGATCCTAATTTAGTTGATATTATACCTTTTCTTCCTCACGCTTTCGTTCTTTCTCTCTTGCCTTCTCTTGCAGGTAAGCAATATAGTCCTCAAAGGTCTCCTTCACCAATGTTTCATTCCCAATTTCCCTAGATAATATCATGGTTTAAAAGCAAGTTAAAAATAATGTTAAGAACCTCAAATGAAACAAAGCCTACCAGCATCAGTGACTTAGGTATACCTGTACTCTTCACTTTCTTCAAAGAGTTGTCTAGAATCTTCCCAAGTAGAAGATACAGTTACTTCCTATGATGACAACACGCCAATGAGTACAAGGTCACATCAAGCAGCCAATCACAAGTTATATGAATTCAGAGGTACCTTAAGAGAACGCAATAAATCAGTAAAGTCATCTAGAAGACGCTGGCGCTTCTTAGCTTCTTTCTCTTCCTTTTCCTTTATCCTCTCAAGCTGCTCTTCAAAAACCAGCTGTAAAAGAGTAGATAATCATATTATTACCAAAAACAAAGCATTATTTCTCAAAGACTCCTAGAGGTAGATTGTGATAGATATGCACCTAGAGATTGGATGTAAGTTATAAAGCACGTTACAATGATGATCACACATATAATATCATAAAGAGACTTCTACAAGGAAAAACTTGAGCACGTTACAATGATGATCACCCGTTAACTACTCTAAACTTTGAGAACCATGATAGAACCTCCAATAACCACACAACACCCTTCACGACCTCACCACTATCCTCCAACTACCACCACATAGTGCTCTTACCAACATCAATTAATTCATTTAGGCCATCAAGGGCAAACAGCCATCGATATGAAAAAAATGAGAAAGTGAGAGAGGGTACTGGCCCCTAGAAATGGCAAACGATTTATCAGCACGAGAATAGCAATCGCATGCGTATGTCATAATTTGACACTATCATGGCCAAATTTGGCTACCAATGTTTCAGATTTTAAACCTCCGGGCAGATTAAAACGCAATATACAAATATCACCATATTACACATGTAAGCTGGTGATGGCTATTGGCTGTGGAAAATAATAGGACAGAAGTCGAATTTCAATAATATTAAAAGGTGAAAAGGTATTATAAGGCAAAAGACCCAGTAATTATCAAAAATATATAGGCAGTTGAGATGGTGGCAAATTGGCGGTGATGATGGTGGGAGGAGGGGGCAATTAGTTTTTAGAGGTGGAAATATATTTATCCAGTGAAATAACAGGAATTGAAACCCCTATTCTTCAAACCAGGCAAAAGAGGTATTATACGGGTTTTGATTTATTACCTTTACTTGATTCCTTTCCCTAACCTTGAACCAAAGAGCCCTTAGCGTACATAAGTAGCACTAACAATTGCAAAAGCTAAGAGGACATAAATCGAGCAAGCAATAAGTTGATCAAGGTGGATATCTTCAACAACCCTATTGACCATTCTACAAATCTAAAAAAAAACACAAGAAATATGTACATAAATATACCTTCAAATTGATATCTGAAATCAGTGGAGACCCAAGCTCTGGAGAAATAGATGACTTAAATTCCTCAAAGGTCCATGTCGAAGTCATAGTAATCTGCGATAAAAAATTAATATTTATAATTTTCTATTTTCAACCACCTGCCTCCAGAGCATACAACTACTAGACAATTAAAATACAAATGCAAGCAAAATAATTCATGTCATCTTACCTTGCTCAACTTCATAGCATCTTTTATTCTACTTTTGTCGTCATGATACTGTCAGGAGAGCAAAAGAAAGAAGACTTTTCAGAAATTTAAATATCAGTTAGGACAGGGGTCTAAAAAAGGGTGGAAGGCATCAATCACTAAATTACAACAAATAACCAGTTCACATGATAACATGCTCACAAACAACAAATGAAGGTGGAAAACTAATTTATAACACGAGAATTTTTTTATTTTAATAGATTTACAAAAAATAAATGAATAGCCAGACGATTCTAGCACAGAAAATCTAACAAGTTCATGAAGTCTTTAATTGGCTTATGCAAGTGGTGGTAGAAAATTCCACTTGAGCCTGTCTCCCTGACATGTCATCTAGAGCAAGTATAATAGGTGTCAAACTGGGAGGAACAGATGATTCATAACTGTCTCCTGGTAATTTGTTTCAAAGGTTTGCCCATAAGACATATAGGTGGTTGCAACATTAATTTTGTGGATTTTGGTAAGGCAAAGATAAAGAGGCGATATGCAGAGATAGACACGCTGCGGATTATTTGACTTAAGCATAATGCCTTTATTTTCAACGGAATGCTGCTTCCAGTGATAGATTATGGAAAAGGCAACTTTGATAGCAACTTTTGGAATAAGGACGCTAGCGCTTTTCAAAACAATTCTATTCAACTGGACCAATTTCAGAAAACAATTACTAATGTCCCATGAGGACTCCTTGTTCTCCTGCTGTGATTCAAACTTTAAACATTTATAGTATCTCCTTGTCAAAAATAATTCGTTGGCTGCTGAATGCCATTGCCAAAGGCAATTAATGCATTATTTTAAGACTTGTGTAACAAAAAGTGCATTAACAGAGGATAAGTATGGGTGCTAGATTTGTACCTGGTTCTCCAGCTCATCAACCACGTCCTCAAACAAATCTTTTGGAGTTGACCCTGATATGTTACGTGCCACAGCAAGATAAGCAGGAGATTCTTTGACCTGAAATTCAAGAACATAAATTCCAATAACCATATATACTGAACAAATTACCATTCCTTCTTCATTTAAAATCAAAAAAGAAATAGACTAACTTTAGCACAATAATCGCGCCAGATTGATTTTGCAGTGAGAACACCAGCCGCAACATCATCCTCCAACATCTTGCGAAATTCATCACGATTTTTTCGTTCTGTTCTCCTCAGTTGTTCCTGAAAATTTGTAATAAATAAATAACAAGATAGAATAACTCAAATTTTCATACTAATAATATGAGTGCAATGCCATTCAAGACATATTGAAGGACCTGCAGAAGAAGTAAAAGATCTCCAAAAGAATGTGAGGGATGATAAACAACAAAGATGCATATACATTTAAATTCACAAACAAGGGTGAGAAAAGAAAGTAGGCAAACCTTCTGAAGCTTCTTCTGCTCCTCTTCTTCCTTCTCCAAGTAACGAATGTAATCCTGCCAAAGACCACAATTAAACAAGTTCCATTAAAAATAAGCAGATAATAAGATATGCTATAAACCTGGAATATTTCTAAGCGGTCAATCTTTTCAAGGCGTGAACATCTCTCGTCATCCTCCAAACGGTCCTGAACTTTTCTCCATAGACTGTTTGCCTGCCATCCAAAATAACCTCATAAACCAAGTTGATATGCTCTGTAAAACAAAACTATCAAATCAAGAACTATAATTATGTACCTCAATAAAGTCACAAGATTCCAGATACTTCCAGTAGTCTTCTCTATTCCGCCTATACTCTTCATCAGCCTTCTCCTTTTCCTGAAAAAAAATCAGCGCAAGAAGCATAAACTAATCAAGGGGGTGGTATACTTGATAATTCATACTAAAACAAAAAATGAATAGCTGAAATCATAGAGTAGAATAAAAGTGAAAGATTTTCAGGATATTGACTCATTAACGTGCTCAGTTCTTGAATATCTAAATCACAATGAGAGAAAGTGCAAAATATGGTTCAAAACACCAGTCTTTTAGTGGATCAAAAACCCACAACAAATTTGCTGTTTGAAAGACTTGATTTAAATAATCCAAGCCTTTTGATACCTAACAGGGCCTCTTTACTACTGTAATTTGCAGAAATTTAAAAAGTCACGGCAGCGAACTCTCAGCTTTGTCCACTCGCTTAGCTCTACTAGCCTGAGTGCTAACAAGAATCTCCTCCCTCATATATTTAGTTAACTGTATTATACTTCCATTGATTCTTTATAATTATACATTTGTAATTTTGCACTATTCAGATACTAACTCTGACCACATTTTTACTGATAAACAAGAATTGAAAGATAGCTTAATAATTTTTACTAACATATTGAAAATATTAATGGTTAAAGTTGTGAATTGGCAAAATGTGCTAGTCAAATTGTTACGAAGTTGAAGGAAACAGAGGAAGTACATTGTCGATGGGGGGAGCTATATACACGTTCTCAACTCCCTCCACCTATAGCTTAATAAAGTGCCACATCACTCACATAGAAACTGACTGCTACAACCAGAAACAAAATTAAGGAAAACAAATAAACACTTTTGCAGGCTGCACAATGCATAACATTAACTATCTACTTCAAGATGTTGAGTGTATTAGGGGTACATATTATGCATTCTCCATTACAATTAGTGATAGTTAATTTTTAATCACTTTTATCCTGCGCAAGATGCTATTAAAAGCCAACACTTACTTTTTTTTGGAGTTCCACCAAATAATTTTCAAAAAGTTCCTGCCGATCTTTGGGCTTTTCAACAGCTTTGAAACGTTCATCGTCTTCAAACATGGTAATAGCTTTACTGAAAACATCAATATTAATCAGAAAAATTGAACAGAGAAGAAGCAATCAACCAAGACAAAGAAGAACGAGCTTGTAAGTTGTAATGCCATAAAACACATACCTCCATTTCATAGATGATGTCAGTACCTCTGACTCCTTTAAAGAAAAATGAAAAGGTATAATCAAAATCACAGCCCATTCCCCCACCACAACAAACAAAATTATAAAATAAATAAACATGATAGAATTAGAGGCAAAAGCATTGAAAGAAAACAGCATACTTCCAACATTTTTGTAAACTCTTCCTTTGCTTTCTTTTGCCTCAAGCGTCGCTCCTCAGCCTCCTGTTTCTTCCGCTGTCCCAGATACTAGAACAAAGGAAGTTGTAAAGAAACTTGTAACTTTAATATTATTTATAGTCTTTAAAGTACAAAAGTCAATGAATTAGCAGAACAATAGCCTAAAGATAACAATAAATTATATGGAGGGACTAGAAAAGCATCATCAATGTAATACTACCTCGTTAAAAGCTTGCTTCCGCTCTCCTAATGTCTTCAAAGCACCATACCTCTTGTCATTGACTATCACCCTCATAGCCTGAAAATAGATTTAAATAAAAATAAACCACTGGCAGGGTAATTTGATAGACTTTAAGCCACTTCATTCTATTCAAGAAAGATCCAAGTACCATACCTGATCCCAGGACCAGTCAGACTGAACATTTGCAGACTCAAGAAGCGACTTAAATGCATTTTTTGCTTCCTAAGAAGAGAGAGGACAAGTCAATGTAAACACGTAATCAAACATAAATAAAGAGTGAAACTCAAAATAATACAAAGAAAAACCAACACAACATGCTTGACCATATCATCTGAATGCTGAATACCTGCTTGTTGGCAAAAACCAATGGCTCATCATTTGTTGGTTTCTCACTCAAATCAACTTTGCCTGCAGCTGCCATCCCTTTCCGTGCTTCCTGGTATTTATGCAAAAATTCAATAACGCATCACACTAAGAAAAACATTTGTCGACATCATTTTGGTCAGCATGAATGCATAAAGAATTTACTACAGCACAATGCAAGTCAGATAAATATCATCATCTATTACAACATATATCAGGCCTACCCATACCTGAAGATCATGCACAGAACCTCCATCTGTCGAGGTTGAAATTTCCTGAGATGATACTCTGTCTGAAGCACTCCTGTAAAGAGAGTTATAATTAGAAGTTTAGTAACATTAGGAGATGATTGGATTGGATCTAGCCCTTCATTTGACCATTTGTTCGAACTGATATTAAAGAGTGAATATTTTTTAGACATTACAAATATTTTGAAAAGCTAAATGTCAAACTCTTCTTCTTTATTCATCAATCCCCCTAAAATTGTTATAAAAAAAGACCAAAGTGTATGCCTTACACCTCACTAGTAGGCTACTAGGACACCCCTATGTCACTCAGACTATTAATTTCATCTCAAATCTCAGACTTTGGTAAGGCACTTAAACCCCTTATTTTACCAAAATCATGGAAATGCATACATTTGTCAGACAAGGGTACAAGAGTCCGAGCAAAATTTTAGATACCCCCTTCTACGGTTTTGATTAGAAAAAGGTGATTTCGACTCCAAAAAGGCATGTTCTCCCAATCTCAGTGCACTAATTCTCCAAGATGAAATCATCAAATTGGGCTAAAGAAATCCCTTGGCCCCCTTGACAAAGTATGACAAGCTGGATGAAAACCCTGAGTCCCTGACCATAGCCACAAGATCATCAAGGAAGCACCACTCTCCATGTGGTAAGTATTTCACAAAATTTTTTTTTCCTCGTTGATTACGATGAAATGAAGACACCACTAGTATAGTACCACTGGATAGTCTAGTGGTACAAGCAAAATCTTTAGCAGTATACTACTATACTTTTCTTCTTCTCTCCTTTGTCTGCCAATAGTTGGTAATTTTTCTTGTCACATCCTCTCTCTCTCTCTCTTCTTTTTGTTGTCTTCTTCCATTTGGAAATCCCTAGAATCCCCAATAAAACTAAGAGCCTTCTTCATTTTTAGGTAAAGCCCAAAGGACACTGAAGTATGTATACAACTTTCTATCTCGGACACCTTCTCCACTTGGGATTTCAAAAAACACGACAAAACCTCATAAGCCAAAACAATTAACCAACATTTAACAACTTGGCTAAGCTCATCCTATCTCATTTACAACTAAAATTTTTGGCTTAAAAGGATTAAAGCAGTGTTACACAATGGAGCTTTAACCCCCAAACTATCCAATATAATAGGGTGCTTTTTTTTAGATTTTATAAAATTATCCATCATCACTCTTAAACCTATACGCAAAATCTACATCAGTGTCACTAGGCTCCCTTCTGCGGAAAATGGGTGAAGATAGCGATGAGGCCTCATTCAATAATACCAAGTCTGCTGCAGGTCTAGCATGTACATCATACGCTTAAAATTAGTCTTTTCAGTGGAAATCGACTTAAAACATAAAAGGCTATCTTTTTAGCATTGTGGAAATCGACTTAAACATAAAAGGCTATCTTTTAAGCATAGAGTTCGCTCTCCAGATTGAAGTTACATAGAATGGACATGACTCTTTCTTCGGATAGACAGATCAGAAGTTATTCTCTTGGTAACATTATCTTGAGTAATGATTAAGCCTCGGTTCGGCAAGATTGGAGATATTAACTATAGAACATTGGGCCAGATGATGGTCGGACATGGACCCAAGGTGATTAATTAAGTAGTAGGCTCACAAAATAAAGAAGGAAAAACTCACATGATTAATCCCAACTATCGGTGATCTTCCCATATTAATCCCAACTATGGATTATTTTAGAATAATCTAACTAGGTGCCTTCCAGAATTGATCCGGTGAGCTGTGTTAACCGTTTTAGCGGGTCACTTGGGCTAGGTGGCATATCGTGGTTGGTATATAAGCTTTTTATTATTTTCTTTTAAAAAATCAGCCTTAGTCTTTTCAAAAAAAAAAGTAAAGAGAACAAACCAGCCAAGTGGGGGTAGCCGGGGGCTGGCTTTGGTCGCAAGTAGCAAAGTAGAGGGTGGTGGTGCCACGATGGTTGCTTACAGAGGTGCTCAACTTAGATGGTTGATGATAGTTGTTGATTGTTGCTTATTCATTGATTTTGAATGAAGAGAAGAGAGAATAATCAGGGGTGATTTAAGTAGGACAGAATGACAGTGCAATATAGTGGTTAAGGAGATTTAAAAATCTTCAACTTCTATTAAAGTTTGGGATTTATATCATCCTAAGCATTTGATTGGAATTGCAGTATCCTTGATAGCAAATTGAATTTTCCTTTTGGCAGTATTTTTTTTTTAGTCCAATTGTTGCCCCAAATTGTTTCGCAAGGCATTTGGAGTTTTCTGTCAGTTCATGAGAAAAGGGACTCTCTAGTAATAATGCAAAACATGTTTCATTGCCTTGAACACAAGCCAGCTATGATTTTATGGGCGCCGAAAAATGTTTAGTAGTTGGATCAGAAAGATAGATCCTAAAGCCTTATTGGTGGATGCAGGTGGTTGGTGGTTGCTAGATGGTAGCAGTGGTAGAGGAGCCGGGCAAGGAGAGGAGAGAGTTATTTGTTGATAAAAAAAAATTACCTGCTTAACTGGTTTCAAGTCATCTGGGTCATTTTTGAAAGGCAACCCCAGTCCCCATTCCCCACAGAGGGATTGATATGGGAAGACCACCAATAGTTGGGATTAATCATGTGAATTTTTCCAAGAAAGAAAGCTAGATTAGTATCTGCGCATTCCTTCTGTGTTAAGATTTCAGCAGCTCTCTCTCTCTTCTAAGATGGATAATATAGCAACCCATTTTTTAAATATCTTAATAATATAAACACAGAAACAAACAATACAAATTTTTTATTGACTTTCTCATTCATACTACTATCACACCAAAAAACAGATTTAGATCTGACCCCATAAATAGAAATAAATGGCATAAATGAGACCAAGAAAAGCAAGACTAAAACAAGGTCATGAGTATAAGTGCATACACTGTTACAGATGATGCATTTAAGGCAGCAGGAAGAACAGCATCTCCAGAAATAGAAGCAGATAGAGGAGTCACTGCAGGAGGATTTGTTACTGCCAAGCTGGTCGGAGCAATGGAATGCTCCACGGAGGGTTCTGATGACGCAACATTAACTACAGGTAATGGGTTGACAGCTGGTGGAAAACTTAATGGATTCGAACTTACACCAGAAGCAGATAATAAGCCATTGGAGCTGGCCAAAACTGGGGCAGCTGGAGATGCTTCCTCAGAAGTCAGACTTACAGTTGCCGCGGGTTGAGATATCAGCCCAGCATCTCCCTGACTAAATTCTTTTTCAGCTTGCTCACGAGCCAACTGCAAAACCCAAAACCTAAATAATAAGAATATAAACCAGAGGTCAGCAAGTACTATATCAATTCTCCCAAGACATTTAATATACCTTCAAATCTTCTGGTATAGTCCATTTTGATTCCTTTGTAACCTTGTTATAGTAATACCTAGTAAGCAGTGCATACAAATTGTGAGCCAACACAGCAACAAATTTACAATGCAGCAGCAGGTTAATTAAACCAACTAACAACTCATAAATAATATCAAATTGAATATTGACCATACTTCTTCCCTTCTGGTGTAGTGAACTCCTTCCACACAGTTGACGCATCAGCTCTCTGAGGAAAAATGAAAGTTATTAGATTCAAGAAAAAAATACAACATTAGAAGAAAAAATACAACATTAGAACCGCTTCAGAAAGTCAAAATCTGAACGAAAATACCAACATACTCTAATTCATATGCGCAGTTGCGCACACACACACAAACACAAAGAGATAAAAAAAGGGAGTAAAATCTGAAACAATACTAGAAACAAGAACCAAATTGAAGAAATTATTGACAGTGACACTTTATGATTTAATAAAAAATTAAAGCAAGTGGAAAGAGCTTGTTGCTTCTCATATATGAAAAACAGTGTCATCATTGATATAGTGATGCGGTGGTTCAGCAAAACCACCATGGGTCAAGACAGATGATGTGCAAACACAAGTACACACTACAACTATAAGGAGCTTGCCAAATGTCCAAATTAAAACCTTTTTAAGGAAACAAAAGGCCATACACATACATAATCAATCAGCTTTTAGGAACTAACATAACCCAAAACAGCTTTGCACAACAAAATAATCAAGATACTTGATTTTAATTAAAAGGTGATGTAGCCACTTGGTAAAATATAAAATTTTATAAGAAGCTCAGCTGTTGTTTGAAGGGATAATAAACTTTTATTTATAATGGGAAGGTCAATTGTGGGCAGAAAAAGAATCAATTTTCAAACAACATAAGAAGAAGAAAAAAAATTCAATGTGAAAATGAGCAGAAAAGAAAAGCTATTCCTATCTAAGAAAATAAGTGTAGATAGCAAATCATTGCCTGCCTTGCAAAAGTGAATCCGCCGTCAAGATGAGCATTTAGAGTAGTCTCCTGACTTGCCATGATATCTACAAACCAGTGCAACATGCAAACAAAAGGAAAATTGGAATAAAATTTTTTTGTCCATCTTAAGTATTTCTTTCATTGAAGATATAGTTTGCCAACAATCATGAACAGGAACATGCTCAGACAATAATAAGCAAAAAGAATGCATAATTCCCGCTGATTAACTTAAGACAAAGCAACTAAAACACAAATCTGCTAGGATGAAAATGACTAACCTCTGTTGGAGTCATCAACTCTAATGGCTTCTCCCAGCTAGACTGCTTAGTTTTCTTGTTATAATAATACCTGCTCAAGAGATTAGGATAAATTGCAATCAACGAAATGGAAATCATTAATGAGGAAACCATACACAAAGATTTAGTCTTTCTTTTAAACCCTGAATATAAAAGGAAAGAAGAAAACACAGGCAACAGCCTTGCATATCAACCAATGCTGACTAACACAATCTATATAGATGTATTTTGTACTCAGCAGAATCATACAAATAGATACACCAAAAATAGACAATAAAATTGATGATGATAAGGCAGAACAAATACATACCTTCTTCCATCAGAAGTGTTGTGCTCTTGCCAATCGGAAGAAGACTGTTGACTTGTATCCGAAGGGTTGACAGCCTTACATCAATGATTATTAAAAAGGTTAATCATATGCAAACTTATAGCAAAATATACAATGACAACAAAAAGTAAGAGCAGGATCATTAGAGCTATCTTCTTATGTTGTAACATTGTCTCATTTTCTATCGTAAACAGTCCTAAGATAATGATCTGCTTTAAAGTAATTGGGAAAGGGCTCGGGTAGCATTCACGCGCACATACTCTGGTATACAAGAACATATAATATTCGTTAGATTTAGGAGATGGATGGTGTTAAGATTTAATATTAATAGATTAAGCCAGAGATGGAGGTGATCCTCATCCCATTTCCCCCATATAATTAACTAATTCAAAATGTAAAGCTCCAACAACCTCAAACATCATCAACAAACAACATAATCAAACGCTGCAGTTAATTGGGAACCCAATTCAACAATTTCAGCCTCATCAATCCAAAACAAAACGAAGCTAATCCTCTTTTTTTAATAAAAAAAAAAAAGTTTTGCATGTACAGTTACGAGAATGGGGATGCTTTTTTAAAAGATTGGATTTATCAAGGAAGTGATGACTGATGACTTGAGGATATCCTCGGTCTTTGTGAGGTACGGTGATTAATGGGCATATACTCCTTCTGATCCAATTTGTTCCAATTGAAATCGGGGAGCAAATCAAAACAAGTGAATCTTAATGAGGGAGAAACTAAAGGGGGGTGGGAGTGGAGGGTCAAGGTAATTAGTGTGGGCCGTGTGGCAATTGGGGAAAAAGAATGATGATTAAAACTTGTTTCTAAAATTTCATGAAAAAGAGAAATTGGTATTAAATTTTGGCACTCATAAAACGAGAAGAGCTTTTTGAAACTTCCTAATCGAAAACGAGAAGAACAAATAGGATCGGAAGGAGTATGACGGATAAAGAGGGAATGGATGCAACAATTTGGAAGATGAAGAAGAGTGATGGGAGGTGGTGCTTTAGGAAGGTGGTTTAGAAGGTGGAAAAAAGTAAAGGTGTAAATGAGCTGAAACATAACAAACTACTCGCAGTGCCAGGCCTACAATGACGCAACGCGTAAGGGGCCCTGTGCAACTTCTTAAAATGAGGCCTTCCATTTTTTGAGGGTTTTCCAATTATTATGGTCACAATACTTGCAAAACAAATTGTATATTTGAATTTTGATTATGTTAAAAAAAATAAAATTATTTTGTAGATATGGAAAAGTTGGTAAATTGCATGTATCAGAATATTTTGGGAGATAAACACAATTTAATCAATTCCATCTTAAAATTGAATACTTTTCTATTAAAAATTAGAATTGATAAGAGTGAAATTAATTTGGGAGATAAAGGATTTGTGTAAATTAATTGAGTAATTGAAAATTTGAAGATAAAAATGGGTAAAATAATTTGAAAAGTAGTATATGTGGAGTTAATAGGAGAGAGAAATAATAAAACATTTATGCAAGTGGCGTTAGTGGGAGAGAGAAATAATAAAATAGTAGTGGACCCTAACTAAATTAGGAAGTGCTAAAAATTTTAAGAAACTAATGTAAAAGAAAAGTGTTGTGATTATTACAAAATAGATGGAGTATCGTAAAACTACTTTAGTATATTTATAAACCTTTAATCGTATATATTGTAAATATAACAAATTATTTCATAGTATGTAGGCATGAAAACTCAACCATTATCTTTTATAGAAAAAGAAAGAAAGCATCTTGTATTAAATTAAGTAGATATATTAAATCTTGAAAGAAATCATTTTTAATGATAAAAAGGGTTCGATTATTTAATCAATCTTGATTTAAGCTTGTTCAAGATCAAGCTTAAACTCGAAATGCAATCAAACAAATTCGTGAACAAAGCTTGAACAAGCCAAATTCTTTTAACAAGGTTTTTCAATGCTCATTCAAGCTTGAAATACCTCAAACCATGTAAGCCTCAAATTCTTGACTAGGTTCCTTGACTACCCCAAAACATCTAAGCCTCAAATCCCATATTTCATGGCCTTTACCCCATCTTAAAACGACTCATTTTGAATATCAGACTTTAATATATTACAGTGAAAGAAAGTGATCCCTTCTCTCCTTTTCTTAATTTGCTCTTATTATTTTGAACCCTTCTATAACAAAATTTTAGAAATAAAATAAATAAAAAAAAAAAAAAAAAAAACTTTGGATAAGTTTTAATATTTGGAAAAGCATCAGTAAGAAAGCAAGACTTCACTTCTAATTGTATAAACTCACAGGAACAGCAGGAGCAGAAACTGAAGACTGGTCTGCGGTTTGTGGAACCGGTACAAAAGGCACAGAGCTTTGACTTCCAGATGATAACCATGGTTGACTGCCAACTGGTGCTGGTGCTGCAGGTGCTGACAAATGGGATACTGGTTGAAACTGTGAAGAGGTGATCAACTATTTTAGCCAGTGCTTTTAAACAGTAAATAATATGACATATATAGCATAACATAAGACTGTTCAAAAAAAAACTATCTTACTGTATATGACGACGAAAAAGGAGCTCCCATGCCACCTACACCAGAGGCATGATTGCCAAAAGGCGGTGCAGAATGCTGATTCTGCTGCGCACCCAAATTCATAGGCCTGTTTGGTTGACCATATGGCATATTCATACCTTGTGACGACATAGGACCACCAGGCATTCCAGGTCTATGTGGTAACTGCTGCATTGGTTGAGAGTACTGCATGGGTTGAGAAAACTGCATGGGTTGATTTGGACCAGAAGGCATATTCTGTCCAGGTGCTAGAAACTGTTGCGAAGACCCCGGTAAATATGGCTGCCCTTGCTGCCCCGGGACTGCGGGACGATACTGCAATAGCAATTGCATATGAGCAAAATCCAAGCAATTCCAACCATAATAATAAACCTCAAATACGACAACAATCTACCTGTGTAGACATAGGAGGGCCATAGTTTTGTGCAGTGCCCATAGGAGCAATCAGATGGGGGCTGAAGCTGTTTTAACAAGCGAAAATTAAATCAACCTAATATAAAATAACGCACTGAACATCTCTGATAAGTGCATTTGAAACTAAAACTAACATAAACCTAACTAAATTGTAACAGAGATCACGGATCAACAGAAAGAACGCTACTAAAATAGACGCGCAATAGTGATCCCAGAAGCCACAGTCGTGCAGCACGGGCAATAGAAACACCCAGACCCAACTAGGGCCAACATACTCGGGTTTGGCTCGAGCTCAATAGAATATAAGAAGGCTCTTAAAGCACGATGAGCTCAAAACCCAAGCACGCTCAAGCTCCAACAGCCTTAAAAATTTTAGGCTAGGTTCATGGACTCAATTGGGCTCAAAAATTGCAACGCATTAGCAACCAAAATTGACGGGAAAAATCACATAAAATTCATTTAGCTTAAGATAATCAACGTCACGGACTCAATTAGGCTCGAAAATTGCAACGCATTAGCAACCAAAATTGATTCAACTATCAAAATAAGCTCGAAAAATCACATAAACTTCATCTAGCTTAAGATAATCAACGTAAACTGCACATAGCAAAAATTCTAGCAACATAATCGCTCGTTCTAATAGTTGATAACTTCAGTAATCATAACCAAAAGCTCAACAATCCAACTTAGAAGAACCCTAAATTAACAATACCGACATTTAAATTAACGAAAGTGTGAAACTAAACCCCAGATTGCAAAATTGATATTCGACAATTAAAGACAATACCTTACCTCCGAAGGCGCTTCAATGGCGGAGAAAAAGCTCGGAAGCCGCTTCAATGGAGAACTCAGAGTACGGTTCGATGGAAGAGGGAGAGGTGCAGCGTAAAAGTGAAAATGCTTCAAAAGGGGAAAAAAAAAAGAAATAATTGAAATCAAAACATATGAGGATGATATGACACGTATAAAATGTCAACTAATATCGATGATCAAAATTCATTTTTATATTAAGGTTTTTTTTTGTTCACCTTCGGCATGTTCTCTTCCGTTGAAATTCAGTTCAACTCTTAATTTATGTCTAATGATATTGCTAATGATATAAAGCCAAATTTCATTCTTTTAAACTCTTATTACAACGACAACGACGACAACAACAACAACAACAACAACAATAATAATAATCAATAAGTAATAAATAATAATAGTAGTAGTCGTCAATAAATAATAATAATAATAATAATAAATAATAATAACAATAATAATAACAATAATAATAATAATTTTGGGTTAGATACTAGTTAGATACATGTATTAATTAAAACATTAAAGAGAGTGGGTTAGGGTGTTGGACTGTTGGGTCGTTGCCTCTGTTAGCTTTTCGTTTTTTTTTTTCTTTTTTTTAAATTTTTTTTTTTGAATTTGTTTAAATGGGTTAGATACATGTAAGTGTTTTGTGTTCTTTTGTCATAATACTATTTTATTTTTAAATTAAATAGTATATGTGTTTAAAATGTTTAGAGGTTTCAAGTTTTTAATATATTTTCCATAAATTTTATAATTATATAGTATATTTTTCGTAAATATTTTAATATGTACATTTGTATATATACATATGTATAGTAATAAATAATCAATAAATAATAAAAGATCACTAATCCGTAGTTAAAAATCACTAATTAATAAGTTCAGTTCAGTTCAGTTTAGTTCAGTTCAGTTTAGTTCAGTTCAGTTCAGTTCAGTTCAGTTTAGTTTAGTTCAGTTCAGTTTAGTTCAGTTCAGCTGAATTCAGTCAATTAGAACAGGCCCTTAATTTTGCTAATATAAACTTACTTAGGGCCTGTTCATATTTACTTATTTTTAGTTCAGTTCAGTTCAGTTTAGCTCCAATTAGTTCAGTTCAGTTCAGCTCTAATTAGTTCAATTCAGTTCAGTTCAGCTCAGTTGTTAATTTTTTTGTTTTAGATGTTTTAGCATATTACAACAACGACAATAATAATAATAATAATAATAATAATAATAATAACAATAATAATAATAACAATAATAATAATAACAATAATAATATTAACAATAATAATAACAACAACAACAACAACAACAACAACAACAACAATAATAATAATAAAAATAATAATAATAATTATTATTATTATTTTAAATTATATTCGTCGTTCAAAATGGTCAAATGTTTTTTTATAGTTGAACTCATTGACAAAATGAGAGTACTACACAACAATTACTAGCTTTCATAATCGGTTAGTTGTTCGTCTTCTTCTTCTTCATTAAGTTGCTCCATTACCTCGGCATTCCTCTGAATTGACTCCCATATCTGATCAGTTATTTGGTTTCGTACAATATCCATAGCTGCTTTTCTGTTATCATCGTACATAGTATGATCTTCTGTTGGTCCCATGACTTCAACTTGGTGCGTGAATGGAATCCCTAGTTCATGTAAACGAACAAAATTGTGTAGAGTACAACAAGCAACGATTATTTGCAACTGATAGCAAAAGTCCATTTGCGGCATCGAATTAGGTTGTAGAACCTTCCACCTATTTTTCAGAACCACAAAATATTGAAGAATACTTTTTATTTTTATATATATATTTAAAATATAATACACAAAAATTTAATAATTTAAAATATAATAATTTAAAATACAGAGTTATTTTGAAAACACTTTTATATTTTTCACAATCCACTATCTATATTATCATTAATTTTCATAAACATTTTCATATATTTTTATGCATTTTAATTTTTCAGTTCAGTTCAGCTCCAATCAGTTCAGTTCATTTTAGTTCAGTTCAGCTCAGCTCCAATCAATTCAGTTCAGTTCAGCTTAGTTCAGTAAATATGAACAGGCCCTTAGGGCCTGTTCTCATTGACTGAACTCAGCTGAACTGAACTGAACTGAGCTGAACTTAACTTAACTTAACTGAATTGAAATGAATATTTTATAAGAGAAGGAAATTAAGAGCTGAACTGAACTGAACTAAATTTCAATATATGAGAACATACCTTTAATGTCAAATTTGATCAAACTTTGACCTTAAATATACGCTAAACTATACGGAAAAAATGTATCAATTGGGGTCTTATTAGATTCGTAATAATGTGTATTTTGTTAAATATGGAAGAGAAAATATAGAGAGATGAGGGGAAATTATTACGTTGCGTTCTCTATTATTCCATCTAGTATGGGGTATATATACATGTATATTATCTATGATTCCATCATCGGATAAGATCAAATACCCAACTCTAGAATGTTTTAGATTATACATTGGATAATAGTCATCCATATTTAAGTATTTCATAACACTCCTTATTGGATGACTATATATTAAATAAAACAATAACTAAAATATACTAGAAAAACCCGTACAAAATAATACACTATAATGCGCATAAGATGTTGCCTCGTTAAAAACCTTACCAGGAAAACCCAGTGGGAAAAAACCATGGTTAAGGGAAAAAGAGTGCAGCCGCATTAACTCTCCCTCATGACTACATCACTTGAGATCTTTAAGACGACGCAATCCAATGCCGTAAGCTAACTTTTTGAATGTGGCTGTTGGGAGCGCCTTAGTAAACAAATCTGCCAAGTTTTCACTCGAGTGGATCTTAAGGACTTTTATATCGCCATTTTTCTGGAGATCATGAGTGTAGAAGAATTTTGGTAAAATGTGCTTTGTTCTATCACCTTTGATATACCCTTCCTTAAGCTGGGCAATGCATGTTGCATTATCCTGATATAAGGTTGTTGGAACGTCTTTCTCGGAGTTTATGCCTTAATTTGTCTGTATATGTTAAATTACAGACCTTAACCATACACATTCACGACTAGCCTCATGGATTGCCAAAATTTCTACATGGTTAGAAGAAGTAGCTGCAATTGTTTGTTTTATAGAACGCCAAGAAATAGAAGTACCTCCACACATAAACACATATCCAGTTTGTGATCTAGCATTATGAGGATCAGACATGTACCCTGCATCTGCAAAACTAATAAAACCTTCTTTGGATAGATTAGAGAAAAAAAAACCCATATCTTTCGTACCTTGAAGGTAACAAAGTACATGCTTAACCCCATTCCAATGCCTTCGGGTGGGGCATGAGCCAAATCTTGCTAAGAAATTTACTGAAAATGATATGTCAAGTCGTGTATGACTAGCAAGATACATTAATGCCCCTATTGCACTTAAATATGGTACTTTAGGACCAAGAGTTTCTTCGTCATTCTCCCGAGGACGAAATGGATCTTTTTCTACATCAAGTGCTCTAACAACCATAGGGCTACTCAATGGATATGATGTATCCACAGAAAATCTTTTAAAACCCTTTTCTATGTATATGTTGGCTGGTGCACAAGGATTCCATTCTTAAGGTGTTCAATTTGTAACCCTAGGTAAAACTTAGTTTTTCCAAGATCTTTCATTTCAAATTCTTTCTTTAAGCACTCCACTGTTATTGAAATCTCTTCAGGAGTTCCAATAATATTCAAATCATCAACATATACTGCAATTATAACATATCCTGAAACAAATCTCTTTATAAAAATACATGGGCATATAGGGTCATTCTTATACCCTTCTTTCAACAAGTACTTACTTAGTCGATTATACCACATGCGCCCTGATTGTTTCAATCCATATAGAGATCTATTCAATTTTATTGAGTATTGTTCTCGAGAACCTAAATTTGCTGCTTCTAGCAGTTTTAATCCTTCTGGGAGTTTCATGTAAATGTCATTATCCAGTGGGCCATATAAGTAAGCTGTGACTACATCCATCAAGCGTAAATCAAGTCCAATCCCATAGCGACACATAGCCCAGTTAAAGGGCGGCGCGTGTCACTATGGGAAGATGACGCGTGTCTAAGGCTTAAAAGAGCACCTGAAATCAGCATTAAATAGGGCCTTCTTACATCATGGCCCAAATCTCGAGAGATAATCATGAAAACAGCAAAACGGCGCCCCCGTATTACACGTGGCTCCTCCTAATTGCGCAGCCAATCATGTCACGGATATTTAGGGTACAAACCCTAGAGGGGCACAGACTCCCACCCCTATAAATACCCCAATCATTTATAATGGGAGTGGTGGATTACAAAATTACAAAAAAGAGCATTAAATAGCTCCAACTTCTCTCTACTTTCTCTCTCTAGCCTTTTCCGTTCAGATCTCTAACTTGATCGTCGAAGGCGAATATTCCGGGGTAAAGGAATATTCATTTATTTTGCAGGTGTCCAAGTCTCATTGCTTGGAGAGCGCGACCAGTATCCGAGGAAATCCAAAAAATACCCGAAACAATTGGCACCATCTGTGGGGATACTTGATAGTTATGGAAATAGATGTTCAAACACCTAATGTGGCCCTGGTCAGGCGAGGACGATCATATAGAGGACATAGTCCCTATAATTCATTCCTGCAATCTATTGACCGCCTCATTTCAAGAAGCTGATGAACCTCCTATTACTGCTGCTTCCTTACAGACCGCGCTCAATAAACTTCAAAAGGAGTTTGAGAGTAACCGAGCTTCTACCTCTAGGCAGTGATATGTCCATTTTATATAGTAATATACCCCCGTCCCTTGGTCATAATTAGTAGTGTTTTTGGCTCTTTCGAGCCACTTTTATTACTAATTTGTGTTTTCGAGTGTTTTCGTAGTTTTAGTTGTATTTTACAGGAAATTGCATTCTTAGAGCATTTTCCCGGGTCTTATGGATCAACTACGGAAGCTAGAAGGACACGACCGCTTCTGAAGCCCAGGATCGGTGAGAGCCGATGATTAAGGGCTTGATATGAGATCCCGAGGTATTTGGACCGAGTATTCAAGACCCGAAGAGGAAATTCGGATTGGGCCGAGAAATCAAGCCCAATCAAAGTCCGAGCCTCAAAGTGGAGCAAGGGCCCGATCGGGCAAGAGGTTGCACGATCGGGCGCGGCGCGG